AATCTATGTACAAATAAAATAGAAATTCGATCTACCAAAAAAAAAAATAGAAATTTGAACTTGACATGTAACAACTCGATCGACATCCATATTTACTATAACCTAATTTTTCATATGCATGGTTGTCATTATTTTTGCAATGGGCTGCTGTCAGTTACTTCTACTTTGTCAATCTAGTATTTTGATTATTTTAGATATTTTCCAACAAACAGAATACCAAAAACAGTTGTTGCTAGGACGTAGGCTGTTGATTTGGAGGAGTTGAGATTAAAAAAAATAAATTATTCTTGATATATAGCCAAAAAATTATGATTAAAACGTATTTTTTTCATTTTTTATGTTTGGTAGAAGAGATGAAAAAAAACATCCAAAGTGATAATGTTTTTGCTATTTCTTGATATAAATAAATAAATACATATTTACTAATTAAATATAATAAATGCAAAGAATATTATACTACCAAACATAAAAAGACTAAAATGTCAATAGGTGATAATAAAGATTGTGGACCCCATTGCTGACACCTTTGACGGTCCAATTTTTATCATTTTCCTCCCAGTTTTGGTGGGCAGGAGGAGGAATAATTCTTTTTTCATCTCATTTTCTTTGTCCTCTATCTTTTCTTCTTAACCAAAATTAGGATAATTATCTTCTTGTTTTTTTATCCTATTTTTCGTCTTTTATTTTCTATTCATCCCACTTTCACCGATCCCAAACAGGCCGTGACTTTTGGTACCCTTTAAGAAAACAAATTTGATATCATATCAAAATGTATTGATTTGATTAATTTATAACCGTTGATTGTCAAATAAAAAATAATTTAGTAAAATAAAAATAAGTAATGTCAGAATCACTAAAAAAATGACAGAAAAATATAAATTAACTGACGTCTTTAAAGTATAAAAATTTTATTACAAAATATTTCACAAATTTATGAAAACTCTAATTAGTCTTCGTTTTACGCACACACTCATACACATAGTTGCACACACACAGCACACATACATTAAAATTTAAATGTTCTAATTTATTCTATTTTTTTGTTCAAATTAAAATCCGCACACACATACACATAGTTACCATACACACACATACGTGCACTACCCACACACACTTTAAAATCTAATTTGATCAAATCAAACTAATTTGATATATTGTAATTTTTTAATTAGATAAAAACATTTGATTTTCAAACGTTAGTTCCATGTAGTTTCAATCAGTTTGATTTAATTTACTACTTAAATTTTAGTAGATATCAAACAATTCATGAATACAACATTCATCTTTTAGATTTTATCTTCCAATCTTGAGACTTTAATTTTCAATTTTATCAAACATCACTTAAGTTATAATTTTTTTAAGGAGTAAGGTACAATTTTAAAAGACATGATTGATCATGAAAGGTTAAGATTGATATCGAAAGTTTATGATCGATCATAGATGTCTGTGATCAATCATGACTTTATTTTGAATAATTATAACTTCTTATCTTAAAGTTGTAATTTTATTATAAAAAGTGGTAACTGGCAGTATAATACTGAATTTTTTTTTTGGACTATAGACTTTTCCCAGTTATTATGTCAGATGTCATATCATTTAAACTTTATTTTTTAGGTAGTCTACCATTATATTTTAATTAGACAAAAAGGAACAATATAGTTCAAAAGAATTATTGTATTATATTATAATTAGATTTGGATCCAAATACTATATTCAATACAGTTTCTATTCAATTCTCTTCTTTTAAAACCATCCACAATTAGTGAGTAAGGAATAAGACTTGTATATAATGGGTTTTATTTCAACACATAATAAATAATATGTCAAGATAAAAATTTAAAAAAAAAATATATATATATATATATATATATATATATATATATATATATATATATATTAGCGAAAATTTTACATCCAAACAGTCGCCGAAAGGTCTATATTGGCTCCATAGAACACCTTATCACATATGAATGGATAATTTTATGTACGCTAAATTTATTCATTAAAAATGTACACCAAATATTGTCAGCCGTCGGATGATAATGGGTCCCCTAATCCAATGACCGACAATTATTTGGTACATATTTTTTTATGAACAAATTTGATGTTCAAATATTATTGCTCCAGGTGGGTATGGCATCAAGTGTTTCAAAAACTTTTTATGCTTTCTTATTTTTTTCCCATTAAACAAAGATAAAGTTCCTTCGGATCAATCATACATACTCAATTCTTTCAATACCGTTAGATGCGCCTGGAAAAATGGTTTGCTTTTAAGAGTGGGAGTTTCACTCTTTCTTATTCAATAGTGTTTAAGGCTCTTTTTTCAGATGAGTTCTTCACGTGAAAGAGATTTTCCTTTACGATTCTAGGGGAGGTGGCTCCCGGTAGCTGTCCCCACTGAATTTGGAAGACACTTACATACATACATAGTCGTAAAAAGATCATCACCAAGTTAAAATTTAGGGGTAAAAATTGTGTTAGAGTCGAGTCATATTTGTGTCGTGTTATTTTGAATTCGTGTTGAGCACTAATTAATTTTAATTTAACTCGTTTAATTAATCGTGTCGATTTATTTATTTTCGTGTTGTGTTTGTATTAATTCATATAACTCGTAAATAAAAATTTAATACTCAATTTTATGTGTAAAATTTTATTATCACTTAATCAAAATATTCTATGCTTATATTTTTTCTATAAACTAAAAATTTACTTAATGAATATAATAATATAAATGACCAAAAGTATTTTTTGTGTACAAAATTATGTCACCACTTGATAAAATATAATAAAAAATTAACATTTTATTGTTATAATACTATTTAAACGTATTAATCATGTTAATTTCATGTTGTTCGTATTTGAACTAACTCAATTCATTTATTATTCATGTTAATGGGTCATGTTATGTACAGGTTCATGTCGAGAAATAATTAATCCTAATCCGTTAATATTTTTTATTCATTCAAAGAATTCACTCACCATGTATGAAAAAATATAATCTCAAACTAGACTTAGCAATAAAATGAATGATAATTTTATGGTGAACTCTTTGATTGTGTACATTGAAAAAATACTATAAAAAAATTTAGGATTTAACCAATTAAATAAAAACAACTTTTGAGAATTAAAAAACATCACATTCCACTATAATATATCATCCAGTCTTTGATTTTTTTTTTATCCTTTTTTGGTCCCACTGACTTACAATTCTGGCTCTGCCCTTGGGTCTCCCTCTCTCGTTGTGTGTCCTTAATTTTAAAAAATGTTTTAGGTACAAACAATGTTAAAAGTTACTTAAACAAGATATTTTAGTTTATCTCTTTCGTGGGATACTTCATGGTTCCGCTTCACCATAACGAGATTCAAACTCTTGTTCCTACTCCTTAGTAATCCGTCTTTTACCCCCAAGATCAACCAACCAGTTAACAACTCTCTTATATAAATGGTATGAACAACTGATGCCCTTCTTACGAGTAGGGTTGATAATACAATTGAGCCTTACGAATTTTTTTTTTTTTTTTTTAATAAATTTAAAAATTATTTAAACTCAGTTCGTTTAAAACAATGAATTGAGCCCGAGCTGAGTCCAAAATGAGTCGAGTTTAAGTAGTTTGACTATTTTATATATAAACGAGTCTAAAAAATTATTTAAGTTCGATTCGTTTTGAGTTAAATTCTATACTGGTCAAATTTAAGTCGAGTCGAGTCTCAATAGTAGCTCGGCTCGATTATCATCCCTATTTATGAGAAAGAAAATGCATTGTCCTCCTGCACCACACTGAGATAATCTGAGCCCAAGAACACTAACAAGTTCAAATTTAAAAATTACTCTAAAATGACCTAACTTTTGGAAAAGTGGATGAGAGCATATTAATCAATTTGAAACTTTTTTCCCAATCAATGTAAGATTTATGTTCATCTTTTTTAATGAACACACAAGGGATGCAAGTAAATTTGTAGAATATATTTTATTCAGTATCATACTGCAAGTGTGAGAACCCAATCTGATATTGGTCCTCCATCAACTATGCATCCCAAATCATAGTCAAAGATGAGGCTGATTAACAAAAAGATAAGCTTTGAAGGGGCCCAACCTGCATCAATGCCAACCAAGCCCCATACCCAGCTGCTGAATTCTCTCAAGCTTGAAAAATTAGACAATCTGTCGAGGTTCAAGTTAACTATTTAGGCTTTACCAGAGCCTTTTTGAAAATATATATCAGCCCATCCACCAGTGTCCAATCGAGAAATGACAACCGTGTCGTATCGGATTTATATCATGCTATTGTAGGTTCTTGTCGAACATTAATTCACCCTAATCCAACTTAATTAATCGTGTCATGTCGATTAACCTGTTTATTTTCGTGTGAATTCATTTTTATGCTGACTCATATAAATTTTAAATAAAAAACTTAACACTAAGATTTAAATATAAGATTCTATTATCAATTAATTGAATTTATACTCATACTTTTCCTATAAACTAAAAATTAACTTAATAAACATAACAATAAAAATGTCTTTTTTATACAATAATTATGTCGGTGCATTAACACTCCCATTTATTATTCGTGTTATCGGAGCGTGTCATTTACGTGTTCGAGTTGGGAAATGATCAATCTTAACTCGCTAATTTTGTGTCAAGTTCGAATCGTGTTTTCGTATTGTAAAAAATTACCCCCCTAATCAAATCCTTTCTACTTTCTTAACACTACCCATATAGCAGTTTTGACTGCCTCTCAAGAAAAGGATTCACTAGAGTTGAGTTCTAGTTGGCCGTGCCTGTGAGGAGAACAACACTTAAGGAGGAAGCTAGGATCCCCATTTTATGTCCCCCTCGTCTCCGTGCCGTGAAAGAAAGGTGGCAAAAAGAAACAGACAATTCGGGTTTCTCTCATCGTTTGCCCTTTGAGGTAGGTTATCCGAAGTACATTAGCAAGGCGTACTCCTGTTAGCACTAGCATGTAGACCATAAAGGTGGCATTTGAAACCAAACTTATCCTCAAGCAGGTAGCTGCAACACCTAATTTTATTGCCATTTACCACCAACCAGGGGGAAGATGTATCTAACACATACATACGCAGATCGGCTGAACATATAATGTGTTGATGCTATGTGAGAACCAATAGTTCTGCAGCGAAACATATAATTTTATTTTAACCGGAACAGCTATAAATTCGGTTGCATGAAAACTTAATGCTCTACATATAGACAGCAAATGGTGAGGCAGCGTTTTGTATAAACTTAAATTAAATGTGGCCCAAATCCAGGGATATTTGCACTGACCTTGCAACTAGTCATATGAATGCAGCTCCTCTGAGCGAAGAATTCTGGAATGTTTCTGTTGTGTCTATCAAGGAATTGCACTCGATCAAAAGAATAGGAATTGCAAATTCATTCAAAAAGCCATCAAGATAAATAAGCTTCCTTCCGCTTTCCTCATGAAAATCATGGTGTCTCCTTCTTGGATAAAATGGGTGCAAATTGAATTATTCCCGGTACACAAATGATCTGATAAGAAAAGACACACAATAAAAAAAAATGGCAATGATGGAGTGCACAAGCATGTATTATATCCATATCAAAACCCATATAAACAAGTACATGGCACAAGTAAGACAAAAGGCAGATGTCCAATTACCTTGTGGTTAGGTTTGCTGCTGCATACACTTCGCAAGTGAAGCTCCATCAAGCACACCAGCATTCCCCCCTCGTATTCTCTCAGCATCTGGATCTATCTTTGTTGGTGTTCTGTTTGAGAATGCCTTCAAAGTTTCCCTTAAGTTTGTGCGCCTATCTCCCATTGGGTTTGCAACAGATTGTCCTCTACTTTGTTGCTGATCCCTTGGACTGTCCAGCTTAAACATTTCTGCATTTGCATCTTTATGTGGCATACTGTGGGTGGCAGTCAGTGATTGGGTTCTCCCACAGAAAGAGGATCTTGAAATAGAGTACTGTGCTTCTGTTCTCTTCCAAAACTTTGGACTCAGAAATTCTGCACCAGGTAGCATGCAACACGTATTTCCTGCAGAGCCTTTTGAAATCCTTCCAGTTGATATCGCCAAATCTTGTGACATCTCATCCAGTGCTTTCTCTAGGCCATTTACACGCGTCTCCAGATAATTCATCCCACTTTGGGAGCTCCCAATGAACCTCTAGAATCAAGTATATAAAAAGCTTAATGTCGGCAGATGCTTGTTGGAAGTTATTTTATTTGTTATTGGATCAACAATACATGACATAGAAAAGAATGACTTGTTGCAACCTGCTAAGTTTCACAGTACAGAAATTGAACAAGCCCACCAGAAAGTAAACAAATCTATAGGCTAATAAATATGTTCTAGGCTGGATTGCTCATTGCATCACAACATATTCAAGGCAAAGAGTTAGCCCTCTATGGAAGAAATACCCACAAGAGACCGAGTAGCAGTAATTCAGAATGAAAACATAATGTAATCACCACCCAAAAGACAGGTTATATAGACAAGCACAAATACTACACAGATCAAGTATGACCTTATAACGCAACTAACACAGAAGGCACTACCAGAAGGACATAATTATTAACATACCTGAAGGAGATCCAACAGACTAGATTGTTGGTGTTCGATCTGAAGAAGCTGTTTCCGGATCAAAGACAGATCTTCAATCTCTTTCTGGTTCCCATAGACCTCTTCAGTATTATTACCGTCTGTCATGTCCAACTCGCAGTAATCATTCTCATGGAATGGAACCACACGAGACCCAAATTTCAAACTTCCCAATTTATGCAGTTTTTCATCACAAGTTTGATTGAAGAGGGAGCGTTTTGTTTGTCTTTTTGAGTAACCACTACTATCACCATCTGCAGAAGGAGGAAACCCAAGGTGTTTACTCCTAAGATCATCTTCACAAGCCACCTTCGATGAGGAAGCCTGGGGTAAGGCAATATCAATTTTCCAATCAGAAGGTTTATTTATGTCAGTGTTACTGAACATTGGTGCATTTGGTTTCTTTTGACTACTCTTTGGCGGACTTCTTTTCTGGGTGGAGGCAGCCTCGGATGGAGGTGTCCTGCTTGTGATGATTGTTTTCTTCTGTTGAGGAGTTTCAATGCCCATATCACAGAAACCTTTGGAGACAGTAGGGGGGTATCCACTATTACCACAGTCTGCATGCATTAGAAACCACAACATGAGCCAAATGGTAATCACTATGATATTTGGCTCCCACAATGATTGTTCTGACAAATTTTCTCTTATCCTTTGAAAGTTTAGCAGTGATAGGTTGGTTCCATTTGGTGTTCAAGAAAATTAGTTACCAGCAATCACACTAGAAAACCCCCAAAGTACTTCATGCTTTGAAATACAGACACATGCGATACATTTTCACCCAAAGAAGACCTTAGAGTACACAGCAAATTCACAAAAATGAAGACAAAAAGATTCAACTCCATATGTATGTGCATGAAAAGTGTATTATGGTGAACTATACATATTTGTAAAGGAAATTTATTCATTTAGAACAAGGATAGAAAATTAAACACAGGAGAGAACCAGTGTCATGTCAAGTACAATCAATGTATAGTCCTAAAGACAAGTCCCTACATTTTATTATCGCTCCAGCAACACAGTAATAACTCCACAATTTTATTTTTTCAGAATGATAAAAAAAAAAAAAAGGTTCTTCTACTATTTGTTGTTTTTGCCTAACATTTTGACCCCTAAAATTTTCACTTAGTGATTTAGCAATCAGACTAAAAAATAATTTTATTCGATTACCTGTACCAGGTATACATAAGGGACTATAATGAAGTAAGTCAGCAAGGTTTAAATCTCATACTTGATGGAATGGTATGGATTGTGGAGAATAATCATCCCTGATATTTTTTTCTTTGGAAAAGACAACAATTCAAGTAAACACAACTTACTATGTTAATAGCTTTGCAATAAAATGAAAAGAACCTTATTTATCTACTTCAGAATCAAAATTTTCTGAAGAAAATGTGAGAACAAGAGGAAATAAGATACTCTGTGCTGTCATTCATGCAGTGATTGGTAAATATGCATGAAGTAATTTAAATACAAACAACTTAGTTGTCATATATGATGAAATTACTACAGCTTTAGACACAGTAACTAGTCAACAATCCCTTACCTTTTGAAGATGAATTTGATTGTGATTGAGGCGAAGCCTCATCCGAAACCACGGCAACATCCTTCCACAACTCCAATGCCCGATTCATCGACTCTCTTACCACCTTCACCTGTTCCATCAAAAATTAAACTCAATCAAGACTTTGTAAAGCCCCAATAACAACGAACAGTTCAATTTACAAATAGCAAATATAACTCAAATTAGTTTACCTTATCGAATCTCCGACTCTCCAAAGATGCCACACACGATGCTTTGAACTCTGCCAAAAGATCCTTCTCTGCCAAAGCTAACCTAGCCAATATCTCCGCAGCAGCCTTCCTCGCCGCCCAATCCTCACTGCTCAAGAACTCAACCGAGCAAGAAACCAAAGAGCTCGACACATTTTTACTCGAAGCACCTCCAGAACTCGCTATACTTCCAATGAGATATAAAAGTGCCGGTTTTGCCTTAAAACAATCAGACCTAACCAATTTTAACAACTTCGGCAACAGCTTCTTCAACTCCGCTGGCTCAGGATCATGCGACGCTTCGATGGCCGCCGAAAGACACATCGAAGCACCGATCTGTACATTATAATCCTGTTCAATCAAGATATCTTGTACTAATGGATTCGAGAAAGCCGAAAACGGAGGTTTTGTGATGTGCGAAGCCATTGAGGTGACTGATTCAACACAGGCGGAACGGACGGCGGAGTCGGGGTCTCGAAGCCGGCGGAGGACGGCAGAGATCATTTTAGAGACGTGTGGAGAGAGAGAATCTCCGTGGGCGGCCGAGAGGAGGGATAATAAACGTACGCATTGTCGGCGAACCGGAGATTTCTCGGAGGAGTCGGTGGTGGAGATACAATTAAGGAAAGCAGAGAAGGATTCGGTTGTGAGATTCCGAGCGATGAACTCAAGCTCGGTTGTGGCGACGGCAAGAGTGTCTCGGTCGGATAGTTTGTTGAGGCAAGTGATCACTTTTTGCTTGAGATCGGCTTTAGAGAGAGCCATTGTTGAGTGACTCAGTGTGCTGTGGTGTGTGTTATCTCTCTCTATGTGTTAGATTTTGGTTGGAGAAACTGGTGTTGGTGGTGGCATTAGGAAACTTTGGGGGGTTGGGGTGGTTTGGTGGTGGTGCGGTCAAGGTCTCTGCTGTCCAGTGTGAAATGAAAGATGCACGGACTGCATAAAAACGCTGGGGAAGAGAGAGAGAGGACGTGGGGAAGAGTAGTGCAGTCTGGGGATTATTTTGCTTCACTTCAATCGAGGCGGGTATTGATAGTGAGAAAGGTACACCTACGATGTCTTTTCATTTAGAAAAAATTAAATACGTACAAATGTTTTTATTTGTAATATTAATTTACATTTTTATAAATAATTATTTTTTATTTTTTTTAGTTTATACAATTATGAATCAATCAAATCAAATTTCACGACAATTAATTAATCTTTTTTATTCTAAAATGTATTGCTTTGACACAGTAATCATATGCCATTAGAATAGCAAAACTTTCAGAATAAAATCAGAATATCCTTTAAAATAGAGAAAATTTCACTTTGCACCTCCAAAGATTTAGACCATGTTTGGTTAGCATATGCAAAACAGTTTTTTGTTCTCAAAATTTGTAAAACGCCTAAAACCTATTTGTTTAGTATTTTTGTTCTCAAAATTTTCAAAAAAAAATGAAATTTAGAACACAAAAACAGTAAACAAGTCAGGCTTGCTTTTCTGGGTTTTATTTGAAAATTTTAAAAACACGGAAAACGCATAGATCTATTTACTGTGCACTTATTGTATCAATATAAAACCTTTTTTTTTCTTTTTTGCATTCTTTTTCCCTCATCTCTCTCCTCTCTCTCTCTTGTGCCGACACCATGGCTGTGTCTTCAACCCATAAATTCGGTGACTGGAAGCACAGATCATTTGGTGGTGGTAGTTGTGGGTATTGGGTGGTTCTTGGTATGGGTTGGTGGTGGTTTGTGGGGTGTTGGGTAGTTCTCAGTTTAGGTGGTGGTTTTGGTGGTGGGTGGTTCTCGATGTGGGTTGGTGGTGGTTGTGGGTGTTGGGTGGTTCTCAGTTTGGGTGGTGGTCTTGGTGGTGGGTTTAGGTGGTTCTCGGTTTGGGTTGATGGTGGTTGTTGGGTTGATGGTGGTTGTGGATGTTGGGGTTGATGGTGGTTCTCGGTTGTGGGTGTTGGGCGATACACAGAGAGAGAGAGAGAGTTGAGAAAATGTAGGGAAATTGTGGATTATTGTCCAAACAAATTTTATAATTTTTGTTTTTTAAAATTATTTTCAAAAATATATAACCAAACAGGGTTTGTAATCTAAAAATTTTTAAAAATATTTTCTTAAAACTCTTCTCAAAAATAGTTTTCGAATACTGTTTTTTGAGATACAAACCAAACATACCCTTAATTTTTTTTCATTTTTAATCTTTAAAGATAAGATTTTTCACATTACATTCTCAATATATTAAAAATGATAGAGCATCTCCAACTAGCATGTCAAAGTCTGTTGGAGCACCCCCAACGGTCATACTTATTCAATTGCTGAGTCGACAAAAAAAAAATTGGCATACTACCAAATTTGATATATCTCAGTTGATATGTCAATTTTTTTTAATGTAATATTTGTAGAGTTGTTAAGTGTTTAATGTAAAATCTTTTAAATTAAATTAATGTAAAAAAAAATAGATTTGAAGATAAAGATGTAATAAATAATATATTTGAAGATAAAGATGTAATACAATGAGGTGAAGATATCAAAATGCTATATGTTAAAGAGTAATATTACATGAACTTAAAAATTAGACTTAATAATCTCAACCATTGAATAAATAGTGGATTTCAATAAATGTTGGAACTCACAATAAAATAAATGGTTGAAATTATCAAATCAAACTTTTAAATCCAAGTAGCATTGGAGATGCTCTTATAATATGGCTCTTTCATTATCTCTTGTTGTTTATTCCGTCAAAATTCACCCTATTGAAAATTGACAAAATTAATAATAGAAATTAACGGAAGGGTAACATTGTAATACTTTTAATACATTGAAGATGAAATATAAAAATTTATCTTTTTGGGTATAACGGAAAAATTATTTAATTTTTAGAGTATAAAGTGCAATTTGCCCTTTAAGGTACAATTTCTTTAAAGCATAATACTATTTTATTTTTAAAAAAATGCACAACGGAGTGAATTAACTTATATATATTTTTTCTTCTTGGAGTTAAGATTTTGAAAAAAAGAATAGCAAAAAGTTATGGAAAGAGTTGATTTAAGATTGACAATCTTTAACATGCACTCGACAATTAAAAATAAAACTCACGTAAATTTGTAAGGCATGAATTATCTTTCAATTTTTCTATTCATCAACCCTCGTAATATTCTACTTAATAAATGGGTCAATGACATATAATGCATAGCACGCGTAGTCAAGTATACATAATTATAAATTAATTGCATATGAAATGGAGAAAAAACTAATTTAATCATGAATGTCAATTCATGCAAACCTTGCATGGAATCCAGCAGGTCTGATACAATAAGGCTTTATGTGGTTGATTAGTATAGTAATTGAATGCACTTTTTATATGTATTCTAGTTGAAGTATTAAGGAGTGCCTTTTGATGTGCAATTGTTTGCAAATTAAGTTTTTGTTTTGTGTATGGTAGTAACCTTGAACAACATTGCTTGCTAAATTGGTGATGAAGCCCTTTTAAATATCCATATCGGTCAATGTTAAAGATGGATTTCTCACATATTGTTGTAGAGATTAGCTGTTTGTTTAATGATAATCGTCCTAGTTTTTGGACTTTAAAAGCGCAAGTTCTAATTTCGTCGTCTTCCTTCTTTATGATGAGGTTTGACAAAATATATATATATATATATATATTATTGTCCATTTGATCATTCATTTTTATGCTACTCTTTCATCTTATAGGAAGTATGATGTAGAAGTCTTTGATGCAAGTAAGCTTGTGATTAAAGGTAGAACAATAAGAAAGGGAAACAATATTTTAAAGTATCAATTCTTAAATTCAAAACTACTAATCTTCTTTGGCGTTCGTAAAAGTAATAAGTCGTTGAATTTACATTTGAGGTGTATTTACTTTATGTATTAGAAAAGACGAATAGAATAAAATAATGCATGGGCTTAACTTTTTCGATTTAGATTTTTGTTTAAATACTTCTTTTGGGCTCAATATTATACTATAAATAGTTCAAGGTTCGGATTACCAATGTATTTTTTTTTTTGGTTAGATCATCCGATATCTGGTAGCTACAACAGACTCCGATTAATCTGAATTCGAGTCAGGTAGGACCACAAGGGCGGCAAAGTTATTTCTACCGAACGTAGCTGCATTCCCAAGTCTCGAACCGAGGACTTTGGTTAAGCTAAAACAGCCCCTCACTACCTGATCTACTCGTTCGGTATCATAAAACCTTCTTAAATAAACTCACCTATGGATTGAATATAAATACCAAACTTGAGTATGGATTGAACTAAGTTGAGGTTCTTGATAATTTTAATAGTTATATCATTATTCAATACTCCATCTAAACAAAATTTTATATGGAATAAGAGTGGACTACAACTTTTTAATACTTGAACCAAACAAAGGATAAGGGGAATGAATTACAAATTTACATTGTTTTCTCTATATGGGTATGGAATGAATAAACTTATCCAAATCGGTCATTTTTGATGTCTAAACCAAACACACCTTGAATTTCTTAGTTTTAGTGGGATTCTTCCTTCGAAATGTAAGTCTATGTAATTAATTTGAGACTTAAGAGTCCTTTCACTATATTTTTATTGAAACAGATCGTTTATTATTAATGAGTGAGAAGTCCAACTATATGAAGTGAGTTTCATTATTTAAATGCATGATAGATGATCTTTCAATAAAAATTTAAAAATAAAATATATAAAAAGGATCTTAATCCACTAATTCGTCCTTATTAACTTACAATTGGTTACGATTTATTAGTTGTATTTGTTGATTTAGTCAATTGTTGATCTAACTTGAGTGTCGTATTGGATTGGAATGGGAATAATGTTAATGTGTCATGGGATGGATCTTACTCTACTTGGAGTATCTTATTCCGCAAAAAAAAATAAAAAAACTGGAATAGTAAAAGTAAAGGAAAAAAGAAAACAAGTAAGGGTACGGCATGTTAAAAGGGCACGCCACGTTCATTTATTATTATTATTATATTCATATCCTACGTAGAAGTAAATCTAGGTAGGAGAATAGAGTTGAATGTAGAGCATGTGAGAGACATATGGGAGGGAGGCAATGTTTTTGAGGTTCTCTAATGTCAGGCAATCACGTGATACTGCAGGTGCATGTGGTTATAATTCATTGAACTCAAGATTGGACATTATTCGAATTAATTTTTTTTTTCTGTTTAATCAAAAAATATTATCCCAATTTTTTGATATTTAAAAATAAAAATAAAAATAAATTCTCATATCATGAAAAATGATCTGTCTTTAATTTTAAAAAAAATAATTGATATACACTTAAATTAATTCCAAAATTTTTCACCGTAATACTAAAAAAAAAATAAACAGATTATAAAGTGGCTGGCAATGTTGAGGCCCTGCCTGCCCTCTGCTGGTTTGTTGAATTCCCAAAGATGAACCATTGGATCCAAATGGTTTTGGGAGATAATTAGCTAAATTTTAACAATAAAGCAATGTGACGCATGTGATCATGGTAGTCTAGTGATCTCTAGAAGTCAATGAAGTGGGGCCTACAGAAAGTGGGGGTTCTCAATTCCCCCTATCCATCTACCTCTTAGCCTTGTTCATGCCATAGCCCATTTACATCTCTATTGCCGTAAAAGAACAGAGATAGCCCGTGATTAATGTTTTAACTGAAATTACTGTAAGAGCATCTTCGACATATGATATAAAGTACACAAAATTTTTAAATTTTAATTATTTAATCTAAAAATTTCATTCTAACAAATTATTTTCAAAACATTTAAAACAATATTTTACTAAGTATCACTATAACGACATG